GATAGCTAGAGGGCCGAACTCCCTAGCCATCGGTTCTGACTAGTGGCGCCAAGCGGCCACAACGTCCGCCGAGCTGTAGCCCGAGTCGTCTCCGCTCTGGGCGGGTCGCGCTGTCGCCGTTTTCAGCGGGGTTCTTTCTGTAATTCGGTAATAAGTTTGGTTACGTTTGTTAATTTTCTAGGCTATCTCTACTTTATCGATCTTTGAGAGTGTTTTACCTTTTGTCTTTTCAGACGGAGCATCGGTTTTTGCTGGAGCGTGCCCCTTGCCGTCGGCTCGTGCTTTTCCGGTTCTACGTCAATGTCCATGTTCGTGAAGCGGTCAAGCTCCGCCGATAGAATGAATTCGTCGCCGTCCGTATCGAACGACGTGCTCGTGGATCTGTCGCATTGCGAGTATTCCGACGTCGGCGACTCGGGCGAGTATCCGCCTTCGCCGCCGAGCAGCGGTCCGAAATCATCGTCCGTGACGTCCAACGTCAGTCCTTCGTTCCTCTCCTGGTTTATGTCTCTCATCGACGGAGTGACCGATATCACGTTAAATCTATGCACCCGGCTCTGATCCAGGGGGATCTTGTTTCTTAATTTTCTCAGTGTGCCTACCGATCTGCCCTCCAGTTCGATCGTGATGATAAGTCCCGTCCTCGTCTGTTTCTCTCTCGTGACTATCCATCTCGACGTGTCTAGTCCGCGATTGTATTTCATTATCGTCTCTAATATGTTCCTACCGTTGTATCGCGAGTGCGTGCATCTGCCCTCGGCCAAAAACCTATTGTCCAGCGCCTGTCGTTCCTCGACCTTCAACTCTCGTCCGTTTCTCATTCTCACGTGTTTGATCGCGACCTTGATCCACCTGACTGTTTCTTCCGTCTCACATGTCAATAGGATCCCTCCGTTCTTTTGATGGAAGTTGAGGAAGCTGGGTCTCGTGTAGTTTAGAGATTTCTGTTTCCTCGCTTCCTCGGTGTATCTCAGCACGCACTCACTCAGTGCATCGCCGAACTCTTCGGTTTCCGCGAATTTCATCAGTACTTTCGGGAAATCTTGGGGAACTATCGCGACTAGATACGTTCTTTCGTTCTCTGTGTTTCTCGCGAATTGTCGGTTCATGGCGATGGTTGCACTCGCGTCGGTTCGCGTCGACTGTCACTCGGTTGATCTCTCGAAGGGCACGATCGGTAGGCCACTGATAGCCCGCGTTCGCGCTCCGGCTCTTTTTATGTCCTTCCCGGGGCTAAGCCCCCTGGTTTTCCTACTCTCTACTTTTTCGGTGACCAGGGGTGCTTTTCACCCCGTTCATTGGTCGTTTCGGTCTCCTTCCTCTGTCTGTCTCGTCTCCCTGTCGCTGCGGGGGGTCTTTCTATATAAACAGTTTCATACTGTATGTTAAAGATATGAATTCTCGCCATTGCAATTGTTGATCTGTTCGCTGAGAATAGAATGTCGAATTCGAGAGGCTACATACATATAATACCTATACAGATGCAATACGAATATTTACCTAGACGAACGCGGAGAAGTGTCTCGGAAAATATTGTCCTTTCAGCCTACCGTTCGTAACACAGACCCTACTTATCTATTTCAAATAACTTAACCGCAACAAGACTTCCTGCTGTGCTTCCCACTTCGCAAAAATTAGTAACTTCTTGACTTCAACATCTTACAATTTAATTAACAATCGATATCGTTTTAGAATACTTGTCGATCATTTACTATCTACGTAGTCTCACGGAAGAAATTGACAACTATAGTTGTGAGAATTCATATCTTTAACGTACAGTATGAAACTGTTTATGCACACGTTCCTTTGATAGGATCATCAATGACATAAAAGAAAATTATCGCGTAGAAACTCATGACGAAGTTATGAAATAAATATCTTAATGATTTCATTATTTCTACCTGTTATTATACTTAAAAGTGAATAAAGTGAATACGAATTAAAAAAATAATGATTATCAATTTTAGTGTAATAATAATATATGTGCTATTTGCAAGTAGAAAGAAGTTTCGACAGAAAGATCGCATGCGACGATCACGAAAAATATCGTCTCCAAGAATACTTGGGGATTTCGACCCACCAGCCATAAAATTGCCCTTTTGGCACCTAAGGAACTACCTGAAAGAGAATAGCGGGGAGTTTGACGGATACTTTTGTTCCTCGATCTGCCGACTCTCGACAAAATATCATGAGATCCCTCGAAGTTGAAATAAAAATATGAACATATTTATCGCACAATATTATTAACCGTACTTGGATACATATGCGATTAAAATAAATATTTTTTACTAAATTCAGACAATTAAAAAGCGTACCACAAATTCGGGTTCAAATTAATGGAGTTTCAATAGTTGCATGCGAACGGATGAAGAACAACGGGGCGATCCGATATAAACAGAATATAAAGTAAATACAAATTTCTGTATACAGGGAACACAGGCGTTTTTCAGATCGTAATAAATTTGGTTTTGCCTCAATTAAAAAAGAATTAAATCCAGTCTTTATTTCCATAACCCCGTTTCTCATTAAATTCGAAGCTCATTTATATAAACATTCTCCTAAAAAATACTGATAATTATTAACAATACGCTTGCAAACGTCTTCATTACGTATTTTCTAGCGTTGAAATGATTCTTTCGTTCTATTCTAAGTACATGTTAAACGTTGAACTGGATAGGGCAGATCTCTATTCAGTTGGTTCTTGTAAACGCTAAACGTTGAACCGGACAGGGCAGATCTCTGTNAAGTTCGTTTCATTAATCTACAGAGAACATGAATCCAGCTAGTAAATTAACGATAACACTTTAGCATTCTAATGAACTATTAATTAACGGAATGTAATTATATTTCGTAGTTTCTTTAATTGACACGTAAATATATGAATTACGAGACACTTAACCGTATGAAGAATTATGGGATTTATTATGAATAAAATAAGAATATGATCAAGGTGAAACTTACGAAAATTTCAATTGGAAGTAATAACGAACGAGTGATACGACCGCTCTCGAGTTACTGACTACCGGCTATGTCGCGTTGCTGCGTATTCAACTACTCATCAGCTCCCATCTAGTCCCTGGCTTTTATGTATGTGTTCGAGTACCTTGGTATTGTGAAATCATTACTAATCCCCGTCGTGGGATGTTAGATTGTGGAGGGAAAAGTTATTGAGAATTGGTTAAAGGGTTTTGTTTATCATCTGACAATTCTATAC